GCAGGAGGTGGCGCTGTGCATCCCAGGAGGGGATGAGAAAGGAAAGGCCAGCTGTTTCCTCAAGAAGTGGCAGACTGCCAGAATACCTGCTCAAGTCAGATAATAGAGAATCTAAATAAGAATCAACCAGTTATTTCATAAGCTAAATGTGATTCAGAACAGTGGGGAGATCGGTAAGTGACTGAGCAACCGGAGATGAATCTGAAGATGGATTCTTTTGCTGTAAGATACAGTACACTCTGTTTTGCTGAACAGACTGAACACCCGCAGTCATTGGGCATGCTTGAATCATTCATTAATCCTTTCCCACAAATCAGGGACTTTATCTCAGAGAAAGAGCCTTTGACACAGGACTGTACTTTGCATCCTGTCTCCTACCAAAAGTCAACATCTAGTTGTGTAAATGTGGCCAGATCTTAACCAGAGGTGGCAAATTGGGAACCAGTTCATTTTGAAACCGCTGTAGAAGTCATATTTAAAATCTTGGCTGTGTGTAATATGGAAAAAAAAAAAAACCATTAAAATAAGATCAGTCTTGATGAGCATGGCTCATTTTTTTCAGTGATGTGACTGAAAACTAGAACAGCTGCTAAATAAACCTTGAGGTGACAATTTTGTCAAATCTGTTGTCTTGCAATAATAGTTTCAGGGCATATACTTATTGATTGGTCGGTTTTTTGCCAGTGGCAATATTTGTTGACATCTGTTGGCCAGTTTGAAGTCACAGTGAGTGTTGTCCTTATGGGCTGCTTTGGCAACAAACATGGCAGAATGTAGGAGATGCGAGAGAAGTGCTCAAAAAGCATCAAAAAGAAAAAGAGAAGCAGCACAAAGAGTAACTAAAAATCACCAACGTTAACTGGATTTGTCAAAAAGACTCAAAACAACAAAGCAGCAGGTGCAAGTCCAGTGACTCAGGTACACAGCTTTGTGGCAGCTAGTGCTAATGTTAGCATGGTGCCTCCAGTGAGCACCATTAGTCAAAAAGACGGAAGCAGCTGTGAAGAAGACCAAATACAGGCTGAGACACAGCACCAGCAAACTGGACAGACTGCTGAAGACAACATTAAGGAAGCACAGGAGCAGAGATCCATCCAGTGCTGACCCGGGTAAATAAGAGATTTCAAAGGTGATGTTGTTTGTACCTGTTGATCCAAAGTGGATCTGGAGATCTGTTTACCTGTCCGCCTCGGTAAGTCAGTTTCTCATGTTGGGAGACAATACTGAAACAGGGAAGTGATGTAAAACCAAAACTCTGATCTAAAAGAATTCAGTCTTTATCGACCTGCTCAGTCTGTGAGTGACCCCTTTCACAGTGAATGTCAAAACATCGACAGTGAACTGGGAGGAAATGTGAGGATTCAGAGTGCTATTGGGCAACGTCATACGATCGTATCTCTAAACAACTGGTTTCAATTAGCTCAGTGATGCAATAGTGCTGTTCACACACTGAACATATTAACTCACTGACAATGAATGTGACCTGTTTGCATGCACACTTAGAGGAAAACCATGGATTTGAGGTTTTGGGGCAAATGTGATGCAATTATTTAAAATGATTTGTGTATTTTTATGCATTGTGACACAGGTCTTCTAACTGCTTCAATCTGTATGTGATGCTGAATCCCTGTGATTCTCCTCATCACACTGCAGCAGACAAATATCTCATTTTGAAAAGAGCTGATCTTTTGGTTTGAGGATTATCATCTTCTGGCTCACTGGATGTTTTTGTGAACCCAGAGGGAACACAGATGCAAATCCCAGCTTCATTTTCCAAAAGCACCACTTGGCTCCAATATCTTTGTGCCTTAAAAGGCTGAGGAGTGAGATAAAGTTCTAAATCATGGAGATACTGTGGGGAATTACTGTAGGCCTCTGCTGTGTAAGTCGGAGCCAGGCAAACAGAATCCCTATAGTCGGAATAAAGAGGTTAGTTTCTGATTCAGATACATCACTTCCCAAATGATCTCTGCAACAGATGAACAGACTAGATACCCAGCAACCACAGACATTCAGATCTTTTACTGTTTCAGATGAATAGATAGATAACTTGAAAAAGCTGTTGCAAAGCAGTTATGTGACCACTTGCACAAGAATGATTTGTTTGAGGATTTTCAGTCAGGATTTAGAGTCCATCATAGTACAGAAACCACATTGGTGAAAGTCACCAATGATCTTCTCCTAGCCTCGGACAAAGGACTTGTCTCCATACTTGTCCTCTTAGATCTCAGTGCTGCTTTTGACACCATTGATCACAGCATCTTACTACAGAGACTTGAACATGTTATTGGGATTAAAGGAACTGCACTAAGTTGGTTCAAATCTTATTTATCAGAAAGATTTCAATTTGTTCATGTTAATGATGAATGTTCCACACAAACTGAAGTTAGTCACGGCGTTCCACAGGGCTCTGTGTTAGGTCCAATTCTCTTCACTTTATACATGCTCCCTTTAGACAATATTATCAGGAAGCACAACATAAATTTCCATTGCTATGCAGATGATACTCAGTTATATTTATCTATGAAGCCAAATGAATCAGATCAGCTGGTCAAACTTCAAGAATGTCTTAAAAACATAAAGGCCTGGATGACCTGCAACTTCTTACTTCTAAACTCTGACAAAACCAAAGTCATTGTGCTTGGGCCTGAAAACCTTAGAAATCTGCTGTCTAATCATATAGTTACTCTAGATGACATAGCCCTTGCCTCCAGTACTACTGTGAGGAACCTTGGAGTCATCTTTGATCAGAATATGTCCTTTAAATCACACATAAACCAAGTCTCTAGATCTGCCTTCTTTCACCTGCGCAATATTGCAAAAATCAGGAGCATCCTGTCTCAAAGTGATGCTGAAAAACTGGTCCATGCATTTGTTACTTCCAGGCTGGACTACTGTAACTCTTTACTATCAGGATGTCCCAATAATTCCCTAAAAAGCCTCCAGCTAATCCAAAATGCTGCAGCCAGAGTACTGACAGGAACTAGCAAGAGAGATCATATCTCTCCCATATTAGCTTCTCTCCACTGGCTCCCTGTAAAATTCAGAATAGAATTTAAAATCCTTCTCCTAACATACAAAGCCCTTAATGACAAGGCTCCATCGTATCTTAAAGACCTCGTAGAGCCTTATCATCCTAACAGAGCACTTCGCTCTCAGAGTGCAGGTTTACTTGTGGTTCCTAGAGTCCACAGAAGCAGAATGGGAGGCAGAGCCTTTAGCTATCAAGCTCCTCTCCTATGGAACCAACTCCCAGTCTCAGTTCAGGAGGCGGACACCCTCTCTACCTTTAAGATTAGACTTAAGATGTTCCTTTTTGATAAAGCCCTCTCTCTCCCTATGCTTCTATATGCCCCCATTACACATTACTAACTTTGTTTCTCCTCTCTCCCGTAGTGTGTCCTCTCTCTCTCTCCCTGTAACTTTCTGCAGGTTGCCCTGGAGCTCTATATCTCTGACGAGCAGTCACCGGCCACATCGACCTGATCAGTGTTTGATTGTTGTGTCTTGTTGCTTTTCTTCTTTTGTCTCTCCTCTATCCACTCACCCCAACCGGTCGAGGCAGAAGGCCGCCCACCAAGAGCCGGGGTCTGTCGGAGGTTTCTTCCGTTAAAGGGAGTTTTTCCTCCCCACTGTCGCCAAGTGCTTGCTCAAGGGGGATTTGTTGGGTTTTCCCTATGTAATAATATTGATAACAGTAATGTCTAGACCTTAGTTTGTAAAGTGTCCTGAGATGACTTTTGTTGTGATTTGGCTATACAAATAAAATTTGATTTGATTTGATAACTGAGCAATATTGATATTGAGACAATATCATGTTTCTGAATTGTAACAGTTACAGGACAAATGACCATTTTGTTATCATTTGATTACTCGTTCTTATAAGATTCTGAATATATGTGTGTGCGCGCATCTATCTATCTATCTATCTATCTATCTATCTATCTATCTATCCTAAATGCTTGGAGTTAATACGGTATGAAAACAGTCACCACGCTGCGCCCACTGTCACTGGCTGTGTCTGTATCTTGCTACATGCCTCCGACATTTAAAGGGACCTGCCCCTTTAACCGTGTGGTCGTACTACTGCCCATGCTCGGGGCTTTGTGCAGGAGTTTCCCCAATAGAAACCAGCTGTGGACCCGAGAGCCAGAGCAGAGTGAGCAAAGAGAAGCACCGATCCAGGAAAAGCGGCCGTCATATCTCTCGATAGCAAAGCCGGGCAGAGCGCACGTCTTTGCCAGGGAACACGTCCAGGGGCAGAGCAGCGCGCACCGATTACTGGAGGTCTGTAGGTTTATTTTATGTCCGGGACAAAGAGAGAGCACCCTCCGGTTACGGTCGTGTGTTTACATCGGAATCCTGACCACAGTGGAAGTTATCCGGAAGACTTGCGTGAAAGCGCTTCGACACAAGTATTTGCCTTTACAGTATGTTTTCAAGTCTAAACTGTTTCATCAAAGTTACGCTTCTTTGTCCTGTCAGTATCACATTCTAACCGCGCGTAACCGTTTTCCTGCGCCTTTTCCACAGGCAATACAGGTAGGCTGCTTGAGCCTATGGACGCGCTACTGATGACAACAGATCACCTCCCAGCTTAAGGTGACAGTCTTGATTTACTGTTCGTGGCTGCGGCCTCTCAGAAAGACGCGCTCCGTCCATCATGGATGTTGGACGGATATGTTTTTGCACCTGGACCAAGTCGTCCACAGGAAGCGCCCGGGAAGTCTTGAAAACATACGTGGGATTATTTGTGATGCTTCATCTCATGCTCCACGCGGAAGCCTCGCTGGTGTCAAAGTCTTGTGATAAAAACTGTTTCTCAGGGAAGTGCATCAATGGAACGTGCGTGTGTGACCACGGATGGGTCGGGGATCAGTGCCAGCACTGTCAGGGCAGATTCAAGTAAGTTGGTCATTGACCATGTCAGCAAAGCTGGAAATGGACATTCTGTGTGGTCACTGTGTGCATGGCCACTTGTTGACTAGTTGGTTTTTTAATTATTTAGTTTGTGGGATGTACCCTGTTATACTGGGTTTAGTGAATAAGAATATATTTTCACCTGTCTTTGTTGTTGTTAAAGCAAGTTATACAGGATCTATATAGGCTCCGAAGCCAGAATGTATGAGGGGTGGTTACTGTCACAGCAGAACAGATCAAGCACTTTGTTGTCACATCTGCTGGTTGTTGTTGTTTATAAACTAGTAAAACTGACCTATTTGACTTTGTGTAACACGAGACAAAATCTAGAGAATAGGATACCACATATATTAGATCACATACTGTAGTTAAGTGCAGGTGACTGTGCAAGTCAGCTTGTAGTTTTAATCCCCAGGCAGCAGAATGACCACTGCTGTGCTGCTCAGTGTGAACAGCGCAGAGTCTCTCTCTCTCATACTGTCACCTCAGAGTACTACACAGAACGCCACCTTCTGCTGCCATCTAGTAGGTGCTCTTTAAATCAGGACTCAGAAATAGCATGGACAGTGTTTGGTATTTTCTGAGACCTTATTGAGTTAGAAAGCTGAAATATGAGGAAGGCTGCCATGTTTTGTCAGTTTGAAATTTAGAGATGTTTGTGATATCACTTTTTATTTCAGATTGGACCGTGAGGTGTTATTGCTGCTTTACACAATGCTTTCCAGCTGCAAGCACCTGAACGCACCTGAGCTAAAGTATGATTTGCTTTGTTAGATGATCTTCACAATGGACCACCAGCATAGATGTGCTTGAAAATAAGGCAGGTCTTTCTGTAATACGTTTCCTGTCTGCCACAAAGAGCTACTGCACAAGATTTAAGTATGAGACATAAACATAACGTAGTGTTTAGTTTGCCAAGTTTCCTGAATGAAAACAGCCAAGGATTAGTGACATCAATGCATTTCATAATGAAAAGCTCAAAAAGACAGTCTGGAAAATGTTAACAACCAGTGTGAGTACACAACAAACAGCTGTTGGAAAAGGGGAGTGGGTGGTGGTAGTTGTGGGGTTATGGGAGTATCTCACAATCAGGGTTGTCTTGTATTTAGTGCATGTTGTTCATTTATACATTTGATAGATATTTCCCTTTCTCTTCAGAGAGAGCAGCTCAGACTGTCAGACCTCCCTAATTTCTTCTTCCTCTGTGGCTTTAATCACCCTTCATGCATCCAGAGAGGTTGACGTTACCTTGTCACAATCACCTACAGCCTGGTCTGCACAAGCCTGGATGGAGAGATGGCAGGACTGTCTGCTCTTTTCTCTCTGGAGGATTGTATTGATTTCTCAGTCAATGTGATTGTTGTGAGAGCGGTGAACAGAGCAGGCTGCAGGCTGGACAACAGACAAAACAATGCCACAAAGCTCAGCTTTTCTTCTCACAGATGCCTGCTGGCAAGTTGGTGTCCATTAGTATGGAGCAGTTCTTAGGTACACACACTGCAAAATGATGGAGAGTGCTCTCCAAAAAAAAAGAGTGTAATAGTGCAGCTGACACAGTGTAAGCCTGAAATCTATATTTGGGTGAATTTTGTTGTCTGTTTTTAAAAGGCTCCTGAGATACAGTTTCAAGAACACTTTACATTTCACACACTGTTCAGCAGTGTATGGAGCGCATGAAGAAGAACGTACAGACTTGGTGAGGGAAGAAAAGGTCCACACAAATCTCAACAGTCACCCTAAATTGTTAGGATCAACATTTATGTAAAACTAACTGTGAGTGCACAGTATTTTTAACCCTTACCTGTACATGAACTAATTTAGCAGTTTTAAAAGACTGTTGACTTGATGGAGAGAAAACTTGTAGCTTGTAAACATGGAACGTTTTACTGCTCTTCCATCCGTCATCTCTGTCATGAAGGTGACCCTGGTTGGGTGGGATGTGAATACTACAAATACTACGCTACACACTCCGGTGGTGTTACAACAGAATGTACAGTGAGGACAGACTGGGGAGCAGTGGAGCAGAGAAAAGAACCTGTGCTTCACTATCACTGCTGTACCTTAAAAAAACCTCAGCGCTCACTGGATTGATGTTGACACACACACTCACACACTTGTGTCTCATATCCACACAGACATGGAGAGAGAGGGAGTAGATTCTGTTTGTCTATTGATTTAAGGTATTGGTGCTTTGTGTAGTTTTATTGGTCCACAGCCTCAGCCTTTGTCTTCCAGTGGTGTTCTCTCTCTCTCTCTCTCTCTCTCTCTCTCTATGTGTTGTTTCTTACCTGCTGTTCCTCTCCCACACCTTCTCCTTCTCTTTCTCTGTCATGCACAAAGTAACAAAATCACTTCACTGCTATAGTGAAGTCTTGTTGCATCTGACATCTTGTAATCAAAGAAAAGCTGTTGAAGCTTAATGATGTCACACAGTCAAATGAAGCCTCCTAGAAGCTGAGAATGCACAGAAACCTGTGCTCCTGATCGATCAGCCAACATATTGTGAAAAGCTGAAAGCCAAAGACATTTTGAGTGCCTTAGGAGGAGATTTAGCTAACAGCAAATCCTGGTAGAAACATACCTTAAAATACACTCGTTAGGTTTACAGTAAGTGAAGGTAACAAGTGTGTGAGAAGTCACAGACACAAAGTTGTAAATATGCAACTTGCAGACTCTGTGATGTCTGAGGATAAAAAGATCGAAGCCACACAAGGACAAAAACCAAAATAAAAAACCAAACCAACCAAGTATGAGCCAGCCCGAGTGGCATCAGTCATCTTCTGCTGACATGGGCGTCGACCCCTGTGTGTGTGAGTGTGGTTTTACCTGTTTAAGCCTCAGGCAGTGTGCTATGATGATGACACAGCTCCTGCTACCATACTGTGCTGATTTGCAGAGCGTGTGTGTTAGCGTGTGTCCGTGAGAAGGCATGTGAGTGGGAGGGGCAGCCATCTGTCCAGTGTGAGTTAATCCTGCTACGACGAGAGTGAAAGCAAGGTCAACACACACACACACACAGAGTTGGATCGGTGAGTGTATTACATGAACCCTAACCCCCTGTGTCGCTCCCTGAGGCTGGAGCGATTCAGAGCAGTGGGAAGGATCAGTTGTTAGGACATCATCATCATCAGGGGCAGCGGGTCCCCCTGAGTCTTTGCCAAAACCTCACTGGTTCCAGGTTCCTTGATATGAGAATTTACTGCTTCTCTGTTTAATCCATTCATAATTGAATGGCTTTGTATTTGGACTGTGGGTCAGCTATAAAGTAATTAGAGCTTGTGAGTATCTGTAATTTTACACTTTAAAGACAGAAACTAAATAAGTGTGTGTGTGTGTGTGTGTGTGTGTGTGTGTGTGTGATAGAGAGAGACAGAAGCTGTATGGAGTCCATGTCTTTGTATCTGTCCCAACATTCATTCATTCATTTTCTTCAGACAAAGATGTTCTCACAGAAATGTTTTCACCACCAATGCATGTGCTGGCTCTGCCTCCCCGTGTGTTTGTGCATTTCTCTGTTTTTATGTTTCTGTGTTTGTGTATTTGCACATGGTGAGTGGATTTGTTTACAGCAAGTGCAGGGCCTGGATAATTTGTGTTCCTGTCTGGTTGTTTGCCCGTGTTCTCTTGTAACTCTCTGTCCGCTTTGATTTTGTTTTCTTGTTTCTGCTTCTGACATGATGTTCACAGAGCTCGCAGTGGCAGGTTGTGTGCGAGTGTATGAACCAGGGAGCATTTGTGACAAGGAGAATGTGATAGAAAGGCACCAACACGTAGTCCACACATGTACCTGGTTAGTACACCCACTTTGCCCGATGGCGAGCAGTCGCTTTGTCATGCCCTGATGGTTTGTTACAGCTGTGCTCAGGATGCCTGGAGGTAGACTTTATACTCCAGTTTTTTCATCACATGAGATACCAACATTTTTTCTGTTAACATGGGCCCCATTACAGCGTATAGATTCATGTGCCCGATATCCACATAAAACTGTTTGTACACTTCCATTGATGCATAGTCACATACTACGTGTGTGCCTCCAGTTATTTTTTAAAGTAGTATTAATGCTGCTCTCTCACTGTGAGGTCTGAACTGATCATAGTTGGTGGAGGGAGCCACACATGAGGGAGATATAAAGCTCCACCTGTACATCTCTGAGAAATGGGAGACGGCTGTGCATTACACTTTAATGGAGATGGGCAAACAAACCTGACACCCAAACGCAACCACTTAGTCACCACCTCTTGTAAAAGTAGAACATGATGTTTGAAAACACAAATCTCACCTTTTCTGTGGCTTGTCCTAGTGTATTTTGACATCTCCATCTCCTCGTTCTGGTTTGCTCCACAGTGCCACCTGTGTAGAGCACAGGGCTAACAGCCACACAGAGCTCAGGTTGATCACCATGACACAGCCATATCTAACAGTTAAGGCAGATGACAGACTGTGGGCACATTAGTACTTCTCTGCAAGTTTATGCTTGTGTAGTGGGTGTTTTGATAAATTGACACATGGACACACGGAGAGCAGAGGTGAGGCAGACAGGAAAAGCTGCTCCATAGCATAGTTAGCTGCATTGTGAGATGTCCGATTTCTGTAATGCCCTTCGTCATGTGCTCCACCCATACAGACTACGCACGTTTGAAATGGGTCAGTCTGGTTTTTACTGTTAAACTTTTCACTACCTTCTGTGTCGACTTGATGATAGAGAAGTTGAATTTTTACCATGATAACAGCTATTTTCCATGTGTAGTAAGGCACATTTGTTCAGCTGTTAATAAACCAGCCTCCTCTACTCATGAGATTTGTTATGATCATTTTATCAAACACTTCTTTCCCCCTACACTTTGTTTTTGTTCTTCATGGTTCATGTTAGTGTGAGAGGTTTGATCTGTGAGACAGAAGGTGCTGGAGTGTATTCCTGGGTGTGGTGTAGGGACTGTGTGTGTGTGTGCGCAGAGTAGGGAAACAATTTCATAATATGACTAATA